ATAAGATGGTCCCTTTGGTACGCCCCTCCTCCATTGCCGGCCCTCTTCCTTGTTGGCAGTCGTGTCAAACTGGTTGAAAACAGCACGTTTCAGCACAATAAAAGAAACTGTCCAGATGACCTGACTGAAAAATGTTGTGTCCAACAGACAGTTTTTCACTTTAAACCAGATCATACTATAATCTAAACTCTCCAGAAGTTTGGACCTTACTACTTTAGACATCCTGGTGTGTCTGTTTCTTTTACACTCATTTTCTCATGTCAAAATGTCATTTATCCATTCATACATTTTATTTACTTGCAGATCTCCAAGCAGTTACTGCGTGAGAGGCTGGGTACACCCTGGACAGGTCAAAAGTCCATCACAGGGACAAACAACCATTCACACTTGCACTTACACCTAGGGACAATTTTAAGTTACCAATTGCACGTTTTTGGTCTGTGGAATTGTGTGGAATTCCATCATGTAATAACCTTCCTGCAAGAAACGCGTAGTATTTTTGCTCCACTATTGGTTTAGTTAAACGTATCAAATTAATCAAGTTATTTGTTTAACAAATTAAAAACGTGAACACAAAATGAATACATGTATGAGCAGGTAGCTCTGTAAATCTGCTTAATGAAGAAATCTTACTGGCATTCCTTTACTGCCATCTTTTCCTAGGACTCCATCCATCCCAGGGACCCCTTCCCGTCCCTCTGGGCCCACCACACCCCTGGGACCAGGGGGACCACCTCTACCCTAGAATAAACAATGCGTTTATTACAAGACTGAACATAAAAAAATTGTTACATACTTCTTCTGAATTAATCTTTTCTATCTGGTTTTACAGCAGAAAAAAAACCAATCTGTTTTCATCAGTCTACATTTAATATCCTTATCTTTTTGTTTTATGTTTAGAGTTATGCACGAACTTAAAACCCTACAACTTTTGTATTCTTCATTGAGTGTAGACTGACAAACAGAAAATCACGAACACACCTCTGGTCCTCTGGCTCCTTTCTGTCCCGACTGACCTTTTTTACCTTTCTGACCCTAAAGAAATAGAAAACATATTTTGAATGTGCAATATTGACATATTTCTTGATTAAATGTTACTTTTAGTACTGGCATTTTTAAAACTTGTACAGTATGCCATTTTGATTGAAAGCAGAAACTAGAAAAATGCACCATAGTGTGACTTTGACATTGCAGTAATTTTAGAGAAAACGATGTCCAACATTTATGAATTTTGCAACAAGTGCTTTCTTCTCACTTTGCAAGTGACTTGTTGATGTGCAATTTTGTGTTC